ATTTTTATCACCCTCCACTTTTCTTCTCGTTTCCCTAGCAGCCCTTGGCGTTCCTAAATTTCCAGAACCTCTTATGTCATACCCACCTCCCTTTCCTTTACCAGCCATCCAAGGGGTTTTTGGGGTGACAAGACACCCGCCCGTTGTCGGGGAAAGGGGGTGAGCAGTTAATTCTGCGTGTCATTTGCACGCCGCGCGTAATATCTTAAAGGGGGAACCTCTCTCTGTGTAGTTCTACACAGACACACAGACACACACACATATATACATACATATATATGTCTTTATTATTATATATATGTATATAATATGATATACATAACTTGATCTACTATGTCTTTGGAAAAAAATAAGGGGGAATAGAAAACTCCTCCCCAACAAAAAAATTTACATCAAAAACACTCCCGGGTTGGTATCTATATATATTTTAAGGCTGCTCGCTTGCTCTGCAGTGTAAATATTTTAAAAGAGGGTTACCCAGTTGCGCGGAGGAAATCTAATTTGTGGTTTTAAATTGTGTTATTTTAATTTCGTAGATTACAAACTGTGTTAATGTGTAGAAATAGTTATATTTCAAGAATGAGAAATTATGATTACATTTTAGTCAACATTTATATACACTATATATTATCTTTCATTTAATTGTATACGATATTAAACAATTGTATGGACTATGGAATAATACTTTACATGTATATATTGTACATAGTAGGTATATAATATAGGTACAAATATACAATCGTATATATGATATTTATAATGTAGTTTCAGTTATAATTATTATACTCTTATTTTTGAATAAATATATTTTTTATATTATATTTTAATTTGGCTATATAAAGGTATATACATTTAAAATTGGCTTCGATAGTTGATAATTCGCTGTGTCAAATTGTGACGATAATTTCGTAAAATACTAGTTTATTTTTAAATTTATAAATTTAATTATTAAACTCGTTTTAAGTAGATACAATATGACACAGAGTAAAATAAATATCAAGTTATTGTTATTTAATTTATCTTTAGTTTGTTGTTTTAAACGTTCATTAATATATTTATACATTTATATATTTAAAATTGAATAGTTAAAAAAAAAAAAACTAGCGAATTTATAACTTTGGCAAACATCACTACCGAAGTAAACATAATTGTATTTACGAAAGAAAATAATGTTGCGTGTTTAATATATTACCGGTAGGTATATGCAGGAAATGTATCTATTTATATGTAAGTATATTTCGAAAGTAATGTTAAATTATTTTTATCTTTATTATCACAATTTCACTAACTGAAGTTTTAAACGAATAATAAATTGTTATGGTGGTCTATATGCATTATGTATGTATAAAATAATACAAGTTTTAAGTGGATACTCTAAAATTCGATGTATTGCAGAAAGGTATAAGGTCATACTGATTTCATCGGGAAACGATAAAAAACGTCCTGTAATCCATGTGCCAGTTTAAAAATATTGTGATTGTAAATTATATACATATACAGCGATACAAATACATAGATTAAATAATACTCATACCTATAGTGTGTCACTGGATTTTATCGGAATATTTAGTAATTCGTTTGCTAAATTTGTGGCTTTTTCAGTTCCGTTTATAAAATACATATCTATTATATTATATTTAATCTCCGACAACGGAATGGGAAAAAATACTCAAATCGCGTTCGTATAAACAGCGCGTACTTTTAGGTGCCTACAGGTTTTCGAATTCAACAATACTAGTAATACTACAGTCTACAGTGATGTCGACGGTCGTACGGTTGACGTCTACATCACCTGTATATTATATTATATAGGTACCCTGTATCCATATAATACTTAAACGCGAGATACGCAGGTAATACAATTTGTCGTACGCTCGAGTGTAGTCATCGTCATATTATACGCCTCATCCAACGTGCGCGTGTGCGTGAGACGATCCGCGGAATTTCGGCAAAAATACAATAATCGCGGGTGACAGGTGTGAAAAAAAAATAACCGAGAGCGAAACGTCGTAGAAAGAGAGAACAGAAGCGAAGGAGACCAAGGAGATGACGAAGGAGACGGAGCCGCAGCTGTGTGTAGAATACACGTATGTACGCCGCCGTAACCCACATACGGCGTACAATAATAATAATATGCCGCCGCGTTACCGAGCGCAAAAAGGGACCGCGCGAGCGCAGCGTGTGAGCTCGTTAAATTAGCGTCGCCGTTTGGGAAACGATATATTTGCCACGTCCCATTGAGCCGGGCCGCCGCTATACGTACGCACGCTACCACCTATACACCTATACGCGCGCGAAGGCCGCACGCAGAGGACACAACTCGCGAGTCCCTCGAGGCCTATATAATAATAATATAATAAACGCGCGCGGTACACGGTTAACTGTTATTATTATTTTCATTATCATCGTATTGTGCGTGTATTCCGTCTGCGCGCTGAGGTTCTTGCACCGTATAATATGTTTTCTGTACAACCCTTTCGGCTTTCTGCGATTTATTATTCCTATGTGTTTTTTTTTTTTCGTATACTCTCTCGTCCTCGGCATTCGACGTCGTCGTCGTCGTCGTCGACGCCGAATAAAAATAATATTAATTGCATTTCATCACACGATTGACGTCGCGTCGTCGTTGACGATATAATAATAAAAATAAAAAAAAAAAATAAAAAATATAGTAGGTACGTATATCGACGACTTCCTACTGTTATACGCCGTTTCTGTGGCTGTGATCGGCAACGCCGCGTGCGTATATTGTTCGCGACGCAGTCGTGGAGTCGTTTTTAAATTTCATTCGCGGATAAAAATATAATAATGATGACAATAATAATACATTATACTCTCAGGTTTTTTTTATGACAGATAGTTCTTTGTACAGAAACCAGTTATTGATTTATAAATCGAATGAAAAAATTACCATAGCTTATATAGCTATAATATGAGTACAGTATTTATATACGTATGTAAATGTACATAGAAATATACGTACAAATAATCAGTATACAAAATCTGTATTAAACTATTGTGAAGCGAATCACTATATTTTTTAATCTGTTTGTATCTATATATATTTTTTTTTTATTATTAATAGATAATTTTTGTATTTATGTTGTACATAGATAACCACCTGGAAGTTGATATTTTTATTCTATACAGAGATTTAGATGTTTAGAGATCAAATAGTTATTTTTTTTTTTTTTGCAAAAACTGTAATTTCATGTATATTATAATAGTCACACGCGTCATGATTTTAATAAAGTTGTCTGATTTAAACTAAAAAATAATAAATTATATTAAATTGATTTTTATAAATTTATATATTTGGTGAGACAAAAATCTATTGTGGTTTGAGATAATATTACTATTTTATCAAAAATTATAATAATATTATGTAATATTCTCCTACTAAAATATAATATTCCGCTATATTTTTAATTTTTATTGTTATTTTTAATTATATCTATGTAGGTTACTTAGTTTAAAATTGTAAATTGATAATTTTCTTTTGGTAATAATTATACAGGATAAATATCTATATAGTACACATATCATTGTTATGACTATAAGGTCTTAGTAATTGGAACTATAATCAGTGGTGTATTTTCAAATATTTCTGATGGGGGAGGGGGTTTCAAAATGTATACGTGATTATTAATATAATCTATTAAACTATGATAGTTTCTAACAGTTTTTCTGTGCGATAAAGTCTTTATCTTAAAGGTATCTTTTTTTTTTTCCAGTTTTGAACCGACGATGCCGCGGGAACTGCTTTCGCATTGCTTCCGCGGCGCATCTTAAAGGTATCTAATGCCTATTACCTTTATCGCACTAAATATTTAGTCGCAACTTGAAAACCGTCGTCAGAAAAATATTATTATAATTTATAAATGTATAATTTCTTTACTTATTTCTTTATAAATATGCTGCTGTCTCTATTTTTTCTTTGCTTTTCTCTGGGGAGGGGGGGAGGGTATAGTACCCCTGAATTCTCCGGTAAATACGTCACTGTATATTCGTATAATAAGAAGTGATTTTTACGTAAGGAAAACAAGCATGTCATCACGTATAGGCGTATAGCAATCTCGGCTGCATTACCTATATACGCACTATATAGACTGCGCATCGGCACACGAGATATGTCGGTCTTGACGACATTTGACAGACGCGTTATACATATATATATATTTATATACATATGTTTATACCTACATAAACTCGATGTATCTAATATTATTTCATATATAGGTACATTTTTTCATTCGATACGGTGTCGTATAACGAGATATTGTCTTCCATCATGTTGAAGGTAAACATAAAACCGCTACACCGTTGTACACAGGGTGGCCGAAACCCGTCAGGCGAAACCCAATACGTCTGATGTTTTTATTTTAATAAAATAATAATAATATAAAAAAAACAACATTTTCCTTTATGTGTACGTATTTTTTCCGCCCGTTTTCCCTTTAATTATACACGGCAAGCTGGTTTCTGTACACGCACGGTTATTTTTCCATCCATGAGTGAACCAGTCACACGGAATCATGTCTTCAAACCGACACACATTCACACACACATATACCATACACGATATTCATACACATACACGCATATGTAAAATGATAGAAACACTACACTTCCTCGCAACCCGTTGAAAATGTTCTCTCTCTAAATATATATAGACATACAACTATCTTTCTTACTTAAATTTTCTTCATATAATATATTCCAGATTGTATAACTCATGCTTGCTGATTAAACTATAGCCGATCTATTGAGTTTATTTAATGTGTGCGGCGTATAAAAAAAACCGTATGCAGGAAGGTACGAGTATATTTAATAAAAATTATCGTATTTTATTAACTCTTCAACTCGTTTTTTATAATACGTGTGTGGTGTTTATACAATAAATTCTATACTCGGTATAAATTATTACCTATATTTTATTTAATAATAAAGGTATTTATATGGGATTTTGGCGGGATGAGTAAAATTCATGTGTTATTTACCTTTGTGTGCGAGATCATCGTGATGGTTTGGCGGCCACGCTGATCCCGTTCCTATCCCATGGTGAGATGTCAACGATTGGTGATGGTGATGATGGTGATGGTGATGATGATGAGGCAGTAAGCCAGCTTGTTCCGTTCTTGTAATGCCTTGTAACATACTTAAAGGAGCTCTGGAACAGTTTATCGAAAATGTTGATTTGAGAGGGATGTGTAATACATAATAATTTTTACACGATGTAATAAGATTTAGCGCATAAGTTATGTTTGCATCAATCATCAGATATATTGCGTGAATAATATTGTAGTATGTGTGTACCTATATCGTCTATTGCACGAGTATATAATATGATGACGATAATAGGATTAGACTTCCCGCCCGGAAGCCTGAAAACGTGTTTATCATATTATGCGTACCTATCGATATAAATCCGTAACCGCGGTAATATATAATATTTATATACTTATTTACCTAACGAGTATCGATATTATGTTGTAGGTATTATTTAGTTCAGGTAGTATACTATAAGTTATGATAATTAGGGCTCAGAAGTTAAATAGAAATTAAAATCAAGAAAATATGACTCCAAATATGTACGTACAAGAATTAAAATCTATGCTTTTGGGGAAAAAAAAGATTTAAGATACAAAAACTTATAATTTATTAATTCGATATTATGTGGAGTAATCCATTTTAGTGTCTGCAATCATTTGTTTGAAAAGTTGTAACTCTTTTGAAATTTTTACTTTTATTTTTCTTCAATAAATGCTTAGGTAACTAAATTAGTTAAAAAATGATTTAACTTGTCCAGCTTTGAGCAATATACCTACTTATGTGTGTATGCAAACATCGTGTATGCCAAAATTAGATAAAATTATATAAGCACTTAATATAGTTATCTGATATTCTTATCAATCATTTTATGACAACAATTATCACATCGATTAATTTACTTTTAATATAATATGCAGGTATACACCAACACTATGACGTATTGTGTTATAAATATGTTTTTATAGTGTGGTTTAGCACATTTAAAAACATTTTTAGGTACTTTTATATAACCATTATATACATATAGGGTGGTTTATTACCTATATTTAGTTTCCGAAGCTAATTTGTTCCGGTATATGTATGTATAAACTAGTACTATTACGAATAATAATAATAATAATAATCATAATAGTAATACTAACAATATACATAATATAGCGAAGGCCACTCGAACACGGCCATTTCTGTTGAGATGATATCATTCATATACACATATATATGTATGATATAATTCGACCACTTTAGAACCCCTCGAGCACACTTCAGTCGGGGTTGAAAAAGAAAATAATAATAATAACAATATATATAGTACAACATTATTAGCGTGTGTCACGTTATATGCCTATATCTATACAAGTGGCGCAACGTATAAAAAGACTTGGGCTGTGTATCGTACCATTCGTACCCATATTATATATATACAAATATAAAAATATATTGTGCAATATACAAACGATACATATACGACGTGTATAAGTATATATATTTATGTACCTATATTCACTCATTTTTCTCACATATTTCAATATATATATATATGTATATTATATATACCTACGCTATACGTTCTCGAAATGGTAACGCGATACTCGCTCTGGGGAAAACTATTAATGAAATAATATAAAAACACACCCCCGCTTTAAGAGTTATTCACATTTAACCCTCGCGAATTATGTCGCTAATTGTAATTGACTTCCTGTAGGTATATAATATAGCATTTAACCACCTTCTTTTTTTGTTTATTTAAACTATGTTTTTATTTTTGTTATTGCTCTACGTGATTGCTGTTTTTTTAATTACCTCTTTTTCCTTCACATTTATTTTACAATTAAGAGATTAATAAAACAAAAATAAATATTTTTTCCCTTTTTTATCCTTTATATATATAATACGGCTTTTTGATTTGCAAAATATAACGTAAATAATTATTACAACAGGGTGTAATTTATTTTATTTAGTAAAAGATGTTAATTTTTTATTTGTACACGTTTAATTTACATTTATACTTTGTATGTATGTAAGTTACTATAGTAAGTTTAAATATTGTTTTTAAATTAGGTATACACCTACTTATAATATACTAACCTATATTTTATTTTATTTATTATTAATAATATTAAATATATATAAATATTTTAAATATTGATTTTATTATATATTATTATAATATCTAGGTATAATATATTATATATATATTTATATGATTATTTGGTGTATTAATGTACTAATTATAATTCAATTATATTATTTTAGTTCACTTGTTTTCTTATTTATATTTTTAAAATATTATATTAAGATTTAAATTTATGTTTCATAAAGGAGGTATAGCTATATTTTCTAAATATTTATTTAGAAAACAATTAGTAAGCTTTTTAATTTTAGTTATTATGTTGTTTTTAAACTTTATAGGCATAAGTATTATATTAATAATAAATATGTGCTCTAACGTAAATTAGTTAACTTAACGAATATTACTTAATTCAATAACATTAAAATTTAAAACCGCTAAATTTAACAAAGATTTTAGTAAATAGTTATGTTGGAAATCATTCAAATAAAAACTTAAAATAAGTAGTTATTTTATTTGAGATGTTAGTGATTTCATTAGAATGTATTATCTACACATTATACAAATGTATCATAATGAATTAAAAGATTAAAATACTGAATATTTCGAAAATAATTAATGTGTTGCAGTAAAATTAACTTTCTCAGCAATTGTTTTACTATAAATAAAATGTTTTTGGGATAGTGTAAAAAATGTAAATACTATGTATGTACTGTATAACTATTAACTATATTAATATTATATATAATTATATTAATTAATAAACTGTAAATAACTTTATAATTTATTGGCTAATTTTTTTTACAAAATTACCTATTGGTTTTGGATAAAGCCTAATTTAAATAAATTTAAATATAGTTAATATAATAATTAAATACCTATACAACATATATAAATAACAAAATCTCATGTACCATATATATTTTTATTATATCTAATTATTTTATCTTTACTTTTTAGATAGGTATACCTACTATAATTTTCGCATGTATAGGTATATTAAGTAACTATTTAATATGTTTACTGTGATTATAATACTAAATGAAAGTATTTTAACAAATATACCTATGTATATTTAATAACTATAATTACTTAACAAAACTGCAAAACTCTTTATGGATTCAATTTAATTATGAAATATTTAATTTTAACTGTGAATTTTTAAATTATTTGCTAAAGATTTTTAATTTCTGTAGATTTTCTTGTAAAAAAATTAAATGTTTAGAACTCTTTCTAGCTCCTATATGGAAATTCTTTGTGTTTATATTACTTACGATGCGTAAAATTGTACAAACGGTGTAATAAATAATATGGTCACTCAATTAATCTATAAAATGAAATAATGTAAGTTGTATGTATAACTGTAAAACATAATAATATAAGTATATATTATTATATTGTATATTTTTATTTATGTATTCAAAATGTTTGTAAAAATAAGAGAAGGTTTTACATGAGTTATTGAATGAAAAATGAATAACTGTGTTGTTTATAATATATAAATAATAATACCTATTATTATAAGTTAAACTAAAGTAATTTAACAATTAAATTGTACTTATTATATTATCACTCAATTCTTAGTTATCATTTACATCAATACTATTTTTACTTTTCATAAACAAATAAAATTAAAAAAATATAAATAGTGATTAAAAGATTATATTATATTATAATTATGTAATTTCAGCTGATTATTGGGACAAATAAATCAGGTAGTATATGTAAATGCAATTATTTTCATAATAAGTTATAGTATTGATTGTATATACACAGAATTAGGTGCCTACACAATATAATTTTAATATGTACACTGCACAGACGTCAAACATATTTAAAAGCGGTATATACATCGTATAATATGTATAATATATGTACAATTTATTATAAAACTAGACGAACCAATAATTATTTATCAATATTATTAGTATTTCAAATTTAGTGAGGTTTTTGAGTATTAAATATAAGAAATGTATCTAAGTATAATCCTTGTCCTTTATATGTACCTATATTATGTATTATTCATATTAATTTAAAAATATAGATTATGAAGTTAGAACTATAATTTATAATACCGTAACCGACTTGTAAAATGCTTAACTGCATGTAATATATTATGTTGATAATCGTGTAAAATACGTGCTTAAGTATAATATGTTTTAAAAGTGCCGGTTATTAATAGTAATATAATAAGACATTGGTATATCAATACACATAACTATAGAATAAAGTAAGTATATATATATATATATAAGAATAAATTAATATGGAATACCTGCTATTTATTTTTTAGAATCGTAAAGCAAAATAGTTTATTTATGCATATATACATATAATATGTATTATGTTATGATTTGTGTTAAATACTGTATATATTTTAATATTATAGAAAATACGCTTGTATTATATTCAAATTAAATATATATATCTACTTAGAGATAATAGGTATACCTACTGCCGTTATTAGCAAAGAAGGGTTAAAGACAAACTTGTCATTCAAAGTATTAACAGACTCTTGATAATATTTAAAAAAAATAAAAAATACAGGTGACAGATGTGTGTTTATACCAATGAACCATGAACCTATTGTCTATTATATAGATACTAGGTAGGTAATTCATAGATGTTTTGATGAATAACATATAATGTATCTATAATACGATATTATTACTCACGTGTTGAAGTTGAATAAAATAGCAAATCCACGCACTGAACGACGTTGTAATCCAAATTAACGAATACAATATAATATATTAGTATATTATATTTATGGATTTTCACGTGTGGCTACCACGGTCAATCCGATTTAATCATCACTGCAGTAGGCAGATGTATTATTGTTGTTATATTTTATGCGCGTAGAAAACGAAAAACAAAATATTGAGAAAAAAAAAACTTATTAAAATTATTCGATTTTCGTGTACCTACGTAAATAATAAACGATGAGAAAATTAAAAACTAAATTAGGTCTTCAGTATCGCGGAGTCGCGTGTAAAATATAATTTATAACTACGTAGTCGCGTCGTGTTGCCGGACGGGAGCCGCGTGCAGCGTGTGATGCGCTTCGAGTGGTCGCGCGGTTCGGTAACGTGTGCGCCGCGACCGACGAAGCCACCGTGTGTTTCATTGCCTGGTTCCCGCGCGCGCGGCGGTGGCGGGAGACGATTGCCGCTGCAGCGTTTGTGGTGGTGGTGATTGAGAGTGGGGCGAGGGTGCGAGGGATTAGCGTACGGCGGGCACTACCGCGGGATTCGGCGGCGGTGCGTGTGTAAAATATTTTTCGGGGTAGGTCGGAACGCGGTGGGGGGTGGGACCGGAGCGCCGCCCGTCCGCCAATCGCGTGCCGGCGCCCAGATCGATATAGAACGTCGCGCTCATTCGTCCGGAAGATATGTTCCATCCGCCAGGCGCGACACACCAGCGCGCGCGCGTTCGCTCGCGAGTGCCCCACCGCATCCGCCACTCGTTCATCTCGCCGCGCCGGCACAGCCGTTGCCACCGCCGCTGCCGTTCGTACCCCGCTCCGATGGCATTATAATAATAATCATTTTTAACTCCACGACACCCCCTCTAACCCTCCCCTTGATAACGCCGCCGCTTTTTATCTCCCCGCCACCCGGTCGGATATATAGCGACACCCAACCCCGCACGCACTCACAGACACATATATACACACAAATCCTTATCCGCCGACCGTCACCCTGCAGCTCCGACGAAGTTATCCCGCTCCGCTGTAACGTCCGTTTGTTTGCGTTTCGCGTATACGTTTGTATTTATTGTTGTTTTTTTCTCTCACCTCTCTCGTTTACCACCAACCCACTACATCCTTCACCCACCACCCTTATCCGCCGACACTGCAGCAAACTGTTAACACGCTTTTATATATACCGGACGAGTGAGAGGTATAAACATTGTCACGCGCGCGTTCCGCCACCGCCGCAATATATCCCAATGTCTGTACATGTTATATACGCGTGTATAGATATATTTATTTATATTATCCGTACATATTATGCATATTATGGCGTGCACTGTACATGTATGATATCTACCTATACATATAGCTGTGGATGTTTATACGCCTATTATACGTAGGTATAATAGCTAGTGGAACGTTGCCATTCTGCATCCGTGTTCATTTGACTATGATTTGTAAGCGTGCTATACATCATCAGAATCATGAGATGTATTATATTATATACTATGATATATAATGTGGTTATATTATATAATAGATATATCTAACTATTAAATACTTATATGTACATATTATATTAAACACATATAATACGTTGTACTATATGCTTACAAGTTACACGTGCCTTTATACATATTGCATACGGACATATATAGCCTTGCCAGGAGTATCTTTATATAATTATATGTGCATTAGTATATATTATACTATGCATTAAATGGCTCAATGCTTTAATTTTAAAAATCCTGCAGTGAGTGAACTTACTGAGCTGAGAATGGCTCGATTAATTGTTGAAATGCATCCGTGATATTTATAACGCATATATATAATATGTAAGTTCATCAAACTGTATAATTTCTATAGAATTAAAAATACTGTCTATTCTCTTTAAAATATCAGTACCGAAAATACCTATAGGTACTTTTGTATCAATTGTGTCTATGGTATAAATATACGGTTTATTTTATATTTTTATTTTACCACTAAATAAATGTTAATATTATTATCTCTTTATTTTAGGTTTGTGTTAGTTATATATCCAGATCGAGTAGCCACGGTTTAGGTTAGGTTGTATATCTTATATAATATAAATTCTTAATCACATATTCTTTCGTTAAAATTGTTTCCAAAAAACAAACAGTAGATATAAGTATATCTACTATCTATAGATTTGATGCTTATTTCATACGCCACGGTATATCTGGTAAGACGCTTAGGTTTAGATATAATGTTGTATTATATATATTATCCGGGTTTTATTTTTATATTTTATATATTTAAATCAGCCGTTTTAAATAAAAATATATTATTTGTATATTATTAACTTTTAATATACATATACGTATAAATACGTATAAAGTAGGTATATTATAAAAAATGTGTAATGCACAGAATTGTGGTGTATTGGTGAGGTGAATATCTATTTAAATTATTTGAATGCTAAATAATATTACATGATTATAATTTATATTACTAAATTACATTTTTTACTGTCTTAATAGTGTAATTTTCCGAAACTATCGTAAAATATAATATTTTAGGTAATTATGAAATCATAATTATAGTTTCCTTAATCCCTTTAAAGTTATGTAATACATATTATATATCAATCGCATTTTATTATTTATTTTTAGTGACAGAGGTGCTCAAAATTTCAAAACAAAATTTATTATGATAAAAAAGACAGATCAAGTACCTATGTTATATTAACAGACAAAATTATTGATAATAAACAAAAATATATAACAATTATACAAATACCTTTGCTCATTAGTCCCTACTAAACTACCTCTACAATTATAATGTGGTTTGTTAAAATCAAAATTAATATTGAGTATCTACAGAAAAAGTACGTGAAAGTTGTACACTTTACAAAAAAAAAAAAATCACATAAATCAAATATTTAGATTTTACTATCTTAGACACCGTATATAAGGGTTGCTGTAAATTGTGACTTATTTTTAATTTTTTGTATAAATTGCGGCCCGGGTATATTTTGTATATATGTAAACTGCGGCCGAGGTATAATTTATATAAAATATAAATTTATATATTAAAATCAATATTTTCCTTCTCATTTTTCAGACTTATTAGGACTGGCAATATAATTGTTTTAGTATTGGTATGGTTAAAAATGTTCGTTTTGCTGCTTTTTGTTTATAATTAAAAAATGTATTATTAACAAGTAATAATAAAGTATTAGGTAAAAATGTGTATCATTAACAAATATATTATTGAAAAAAAACTGTAATTAAGAAGCTGGTAAAAATGTGTAAGATAATTTCTACACTTAGTCTAACCAAGTAATTTTTTTTTGCTTGCAATTCATACATTTTTCATGTATAAATGTTTCTTTTTCAGTCATTTTTTTTGCTTTTTGTTCCCTGACTTCTCAAACTGATATTTACATCGTAGATTATTAGTTATTTATTACTAATCTTTAAATTGTACAGCCGACCGGAAATTGGAACATTCCGGCCCGCAATTTACATATGTTATAAAAATACGCGGGCCACAATTTACGTATGTTTTAAAAGTACATTGGCCGTAATTTACATAGTATATGACTATGACCTTTTTTTGGGAACGCGATTTATACAGATTCCGGTATATAGGTATACTTGATAGGCGTTTGGATCCCGCACTTTACTGCAAAACAAAAAACACAGTTAATTTTAGGAAGAAAATGTGCTACGTTTAATAAATTCGAATTTTGCCAACATTCAATTCATACAAAATCAATAAAAAGTATCATATAAATCTATAATATTAAGAACGATTTTGACATACACCTACGGCGCATAATGTGATAAACAAATCTGGAAAATTGCCAAGTACTAACCATCTTAAACCTGTATTATACCATCATTATCCAGCAGTCGTCTTAATATAATCCATTACTTTCCATTCATCGACTTCTGTTTCGTATTGGTTTTCCCTTTGATATGAATTTATATTATGCTTTATATTATACATATACAGTAATTTATAGAGACATAACAATATAAACTGATGACCGATAAACAACAAATTTTGTATAACGAAAGAAAATGTCCAATAGTATACCAGCTTATTTCAATATTTTTATTATTTATCTCATATCTTTGTAATAGTTATACTATTTTACAATATTAAATAATTTTCCCCGTTGTCTGAAAATTGATTACAACTTTCGTTTGTACCTTACTTATATAGACTAAATAAACAAATTCGCTTTTCGTTATTATTGTAAACTTATAATAAACTATCTGCAATGTAATGATATAGACATATAGTATAGATATAATATTAAGTAAAATATGATACGCTTACGTCACATTGCCTATCAATAAAGATTGGTTCTATCCTTTAAAATAAAAATAATAATGTTAAAGTTTAATCTAGTGATGGGTACTATCGAATAGCCACTATCGAACTATTCGATAGGTTTTCCAAATTATCAAATACTATTCGATAGTTCCCATCACTGGTTTAATCTTATTTTTCTTGTTTATTATTTGTTAATACGTTTTATTCTCAATACAAATGAATATAATATACAGAGTGATTTATTAAGTAAGATTACTCCATCATTGTATCATTTGACAACGTATTTATTCAATAATTTTGATTTTAGAATTGTTTTTAATTCCTATATAGGTTGGAGGTTATATTTTTAAGTACTTATCTATCCAATTATACTTAGATTTTCAGATAGTTAATCCTATGGCGATATGAAATCTTATTTTTTCGAATGAGAACTATCGTTTTTAAAAATTATTATTTGAGTAACTTTTTTTATTGAACATTTTAACCCATCTAAATCTAAATTTAAACGACTATTTTCTGAGTTATTAATTTTTTTTGTTTTGGAGAAGGGGTGGATAGAAAAAAATGCTTATTCTAGATAATTTAGGCCAATTGTCGTTTTTACAATTTATCTCCAAGTTTCTCATTATTTACTGTCAGCTTTCTTCATTCAGCACATCTTCTTATGTTTGAGAACCTTCTTTGACTTGATCTTCCCTGCAACGCTAGTTGCTAGATATTCCTCTTGATCAAATTGTATGAGGTCTCTATTTTATTATTTTGCGTGTCTGTGTAAGTTAGCCCTCTTCCTTTGCTTTTCTTACTAAACAATCTTCTTAACAATTAACATTAAAAAATGAGTAATTATATTCATTAGTTTATTCATGTATGAAAAAATGAACTCAATCATGCTTGATGAATCACTCTATATATTATAATTATACATAGGATTGGTTTCAAAAAACAAATTAAGTTTAATCCACGAGTAGATATACACAAGACTTTATCTGTGTGCGATGTAACTATGGATGATCAACGGTTTATCTCTTAATGTCCTTGATAGAATACACTCTACTGAGCGGTGAGCAGTTTAATTGATTTTTTTTTTTGTAATTCATTATATTAAGGTTATATTATTTTTTTAATTTAAAGTGCAATAAATATAAATGTAGTGGAATCAAAAATAAAAATCTTAGTCA